AAATAGATGACATGGGCTCGATTTCTGGGACATGTTTAAGGCATATAATAGATTGTCCATATTTTCACTGCAAGCCGATATACAGGGTCTTTTTGAATTTTCGACCATTTTTAAAATGTCATGTCCTATGACTTTTTATTTTGCGACATAATAAAATTCTGTTAAAACATTTTTAAGCAAGGTACTTTTTTAGCATAAACCAGTGGCGTAATTCATTTTTTCTATACTTAAGTTTTTTATGAGAAAAAAATATATATTATTTAAATGTAAATACTTCGCTATGAACTTCAAGAACTGCCCGTGCTTAGCCCTTTCCCACAATGTATAAAGTTGTGGGTATCTATTTCTAAAAATGGGTGAAATATTAGGTGTTTTTTCTTTACATCGAATTATCTTGGAACAATCATCTGCGTGCATTATTTGGTTTGGATCATATCGTTGTCAAATTTCTGCTGTTAATTCATTATTGCATTTTGATAGTATTCAAGTTGTATAAAATCATTATAAAACATTAAATTCAAATATGTATATATGAAAATTTGGGACGTCTAAGAAGTGGCAGGAGACTACTAAGCTAGCTTTTGCGCTTATTACACCAGTTGAATTAATAAATAGCTGTAACTCTGTGCGTGAAAGATGTTTAGTGTATACCCAATAGGGAGGTGCTCAGTGTGAACACGTTTGCTGAACATTTCTTTAGAAAATTACATTCGCCACTTAAAAAATACCGTCAATTTATTTTATTTCTTTGTGATTTGTCCATTGTGTTGTTTTTAATTGTAATTGGTAGCACTAATATAGATTGTTAATTTACTTTAGTCAAAATTCTTAATAAAAATATATAAAAATGAGAGAAATATTAGCTGTTTTATCTTTATATCGAAGCGGGTCTTGATTTTGTATTGACGTATTTGCCTAATTATCTTTTTTAATAGAATTTAGTATGGTATTATTGTTATGTATCTGCATAATTAAAGATTTTTGAAAAGATAAATTAAAAATCTATATTAGCATGTATTACTAATTACAATAATTAAAATGGATACAATAAACAAAGAACAAAATTAAAAAAGATAGTTTTCGGGTGACGAATATAGTTTTCTAAAATAAATCAGCAAGGATGTTCAAACGGAGCACCTCCCTGTTGAATACACAGTAAACATATTTCGCACACAGAGTTACAGCTATCTATTAGTTAAATTGGTGTAATAAGTCCAAAAGCTTGCCTAGTAACCTCCTACAATTCTTCTCTCCTCCCAATGGTTCTTCCCAAATATATAATAATAATAATAATAGCTCCCGTATATAGCGTTTAACGCCTTGGGAGTAGCAAGGTACAGCTTACCATGCTAGAGCCGTTCGGTGTACAAGGAAGGTAATGTGGCTAGCACTACGCTTCAACCGCCTATTATTACCTCAGGATTGTGAATCCCAAGTAGGGGAGAATGCCCAACAGTGAGACACATTTTTTTAAGACTGTAAATAATATTTTATTTATTCATGAAAATAAACTATTTTAGTATACTTTAAAGGCAACCACTCTCTCCTAAACATGTTTAATTAACTACTCTCATTGAGACAAAAACATGTCTTAAAATTAACAGTATTGTTATTATTGCATTTGTCTCATTGTTGGGCCCTAAGGTCTAACAGTAAGACAGAGGAAGTTTTAAACAAATAACTATTTATTAATTACTTAAAAATAGTTAAGAGTATTTATTTGAGTTTGGCATAAAACAAAGTAGAGCTGTCTTAAACAAAGAACTTAAAATATAAACACAAGTGCTAAAAATAATAATTAACTTAATCAACTAACAAAATAAAAAAAAAAGAGTTTCATAGATTTTTCTTGTTAATGTAACTTCGACTTAAAATAAAGAAAAACTCTGTTATATAATAATCAATAACATGATAGACATGTTCAACAATGCCAACGAGTGCCTAAAAGGTATTTATGTCCCAGTCTTAACGGGTGCACTGTCTGTCGGACACTGTCTCACTGTTGGGAAATATATTTTGTCTCACTGCTGGACATTAACACTAGTGGGCCATTTTGTAATTTATTTTATTCTAAAACTACTTGAACAAAAAAACTTAGAGGTATATTCTAAAAAAACATTCTAAACTTACCTCTCCACTAATGGATTTATTAAAATAACTAAGTGTTGTCTTACAGACTGAAGAAAACGCACGTGTTAAAAATTATTTTTCGCTTCAGAAATTGTATTGGATGCAGTTGACATATATCTCCCAACACTGCAGGTTCCATATCTGATACAAAATAGTTGGTATATAGGTAGTGTTTTTTTTACTCTCGAAACGGGAATTGGATTCGACGCGTTTTAAATGAAGGGGATTAAATGTCTCACTGTTGGACCTGTCTCACTGTTGGGCATTCTCCCCTACTCATTAAGGCTGAGTCGACCTAGGTACCCAAACTATTTTTATTTTTAATAAAAATAGTCGGCTGATGAAATGCCGGGTGTAGGATTCGAACCGACCACCTTGACATCGGTAGATGAGAGCCTGTACCTCTATGCCACGGGCACCTTAAGGCACTTCCCAAATATAAGATCCTTTATTATCCCACGTAAGAAAAGTCTAAAGAGTAAAATCAGGGGACCTAGCAGGCTAATATATATGAGAACTAATTTAATTCTCTCTTTAAATTCTTCATTAATAGTTCAGTTGTAATTTTGGCGTTTTCATTGCAATTAGTTATACTAATATAGGTTGTTAATGCTCCTTTTCAAAAGTCTTTAATTATGCAGATAAATAATAATATACAATATTAAATAGTGATAAAAAAATTATTAGGCAAATAAGTCAACACAAAATTAAGGCTCGCTTCGATATAAAGATAAACCCAATATTCATTATTACATTTTAATTCTATAATTTTTAACTCTCTCATTTTTGGAGTTCTTCTCCTAGACGAAACAATATACTTAAATTTTAACTGGTTTATTTGTAGTTTACTTTGCTATACAGAGATTTTTATCAAAAAATATAAAAATGTTCAACGCGCTGTATTATTTGCACTACCTAATGTTATGTTCAAACTGCGACATTAAAATTGAAAAATAAATTTAAAAGTACGCTTGTAATTGTACGATTTTCCACGACTTTCCATGTTCAGTTCATCGTAAACACCGGCCCAATGTCAACATTTTAATGGTCTACGATGACAACGTCGGACACAGCGATCGCCATTACCCCGATGATTGATTACGATGCCTCGTCCGTTCTGAAACGTCGAACAACGGTGACGATCCAGGCTACCGATAACAACGCCATTCTGGACGCTTCTCTATAGGCAGAATGTTGAAAATTGGCGCTCGGGAAAGACATGTTTAGGATTTCACCGTAGTTTAGGATAATAGAATGTAACCAATATAGCAATAGAAGATCTAATATAGTAAATAGCAGTAGGTGTCCATTTTCCATTCAACTGTATAAAGAGGAGAGAAAGAGTATATAATTGAGTGCATTATGATATTTTTATGTTACATAATATTATACGATCAAATTAATATAGGGTGGCGCTTCTCATACGCGCGGAGACTCCAAGAAGAACGGTAGTTAGCTGAAATGAAACTCTAGTTTTGAGTTATATATGACCACAGACAGTAGAGGATGCCTTGTATGATGAACAGGGTAGTCCCATCCGGCATCGTTATACGTCTTGGTGCAATTCCCTGGCCACGACATTATACAGCCAGGGACAAGACAGTGAGATGCTCCTTGAACCGTATACAGACCGGAGGTCCAACGCATTCCAAGGCACATGTGGACAGATATTTGGATGCGTTGGAACCAGTGTGTATGGCGGCGTGTGTAATACATTCCAAGGCGACCGTTATGGAGTAGGACAAAGATTTATGTCTAAAATTGATATAACTTTATGGGATTAATTCCATTATTAGGAGATCCTAACAATATAAGTTATAAACTTACAAAAAAATATTGATATTTAGTCGAGTGCTGCAAAGTGACTGAAGTAAAAAAGAAAATAAAGAGTATTCTGACATCACACAGTCGAGAATTACGACGGAAACGTACTACATATTGTGGAATGGGGAGAGACGTAACAAACATTTAGAAGTTATAATTAGAAGTTAAAAACAATTTAAAACCTTACGGTTGTAAATTGCTTTTAAGTAAAGAATTTACAACCAAAAAGCCAGCGCTTGTACATGAATTACACCTTGGCCGCAGAAAATTACCGAACCTTAACCAACGTCTTCAAGTTTAAAACTAAATCCGCTGTGGATGACAACAATTTATTAGATATATTTCAAGCAATCCCAATCCTTTCCAATGCCGACGCCAATGAACACATTCGGCTGAGTTGGCGTTGGTTTGCATTGGAATTTGGTCTTTAGAGACCCAGCCAAAGTGCCAGAGAGTATTCCCCCTAGCACCTGAGTAGGAGCTTCCCCACCAACGATATCTTCTAGAGGTTAGACAAAGATTTTCATAGATATTTTTATTTAGATTTAAAAGCTTCGTTCAGAACTCACAATTAGTGGAATATTAATATAACTACATATTATACGTAGAACTACATTTTAGGCTCTGCCAGTCAAAAACCTTACATTGCAGTCATATGTTTCTCTAATGAAACTCTTATACTCCTTTATTTTTCTTCTAGAATTTGAAAATTAATTAATATATAGTGTGTCCCATTACAAAAAACAATACTTTGATGTTTATCTTTTTTCTGGGGCACAATATTTATTCTTAAAGCAAGTAGTAGAGTACGAACAGCATGTCCTTGGTTTTTAAAGTTAAAAACCTCCACAGAAAAAAAAATTCTACTAGTTTTAGTACACAAAGTCTATACTTTTACATTACTTGCTAGAATTAACGTCATTACAGTTTAGTGCCTCTCATACGACGCGGAGGCTTCAAGAAGAACCACAGTTTGTATTGAATGAAAATTTGAGTCCATATATAGGTTAATTAAAAGCATGCCCATTAATCATAACATGACTAACCTTTGTTTTGGATCCACCGATAGAGCCGGGTCTGATACTTCCTGTTTCATAAAACCTAGTCAGAATTTTCGAAACACAGCCGTGGGAAACGAGCAATTGTCTGGATATGTCACAGGGACGGACTCCAAGGAGGGCCAGTTCGACTATGCGTCTCCTGACGCAATCCGGTAGGGGACGCCCGTTGACAAACACACCACCTAGTTGGTTCACTCCAGCCTGACCTGAACAAATAAACGAAAAGATTAAGGCCTATTTCTTAAAACTAAATAATAAAATTTCTGTAATAAGAGTTCCGTAAATAAATGTTAACTAATATAGGGGTGTCTCAAATAAGTACAAATATTTTTAGGGCTGGTAGATCTCGATATAAAAAACATATTTTTTGCGGTTTTTCAAATAAGTCCAAAGTAACCCAGTTATTTCACTTTGAAAATTAAAAAAAAAATTGGTCAAATTTTGATAACCACTGGATTCTCCAAATTTTTTTGTTTTCTTATTTGTAAGTTTAACCAACTCTACCTATGTTATCATAATATCATTATTTTTGTTACTATCACGATTTTTTTTATTTTTTTTTGTTCAGAATTACAAATTTGTGTTTAGTTCTTAGATTAATAATATTGTTGCGGACCCGTGTGGACTCGACCTAACCTAACTTTATGTCCCTCCCTCAGATGACCTTCACATCTCATTAAAGAATAGACACCGTAATGATTCATTCGGACGTTCGAGAAAAATCGAGTTCTACTGGAATGGAGTAGTACATACGAGAACAATCGAAACCTTCTCTATGCACCTAACGATCTATCGACTATTCTAGAAATCTTTAGTTGTAGGTAAAAAACCGGCGGCTGTGGCCTAAAGAGGGCAGTTATAAATAGACGAGTACAGTTGACGCGCTAAAATTCAAAATAAATGCTTAGTTATAAATCGTTTGTAAATAGTTCTTTAAGTCTTTTATCGTTATTGTTTTTGTTAATTAGTGTTAAATAAATAGTGTTTAAATAAATTGTGACTTTCTATCCACACGGAACCGACGAAAAACGTAACAATATTAAATATACCTTTAACCTTTCCGGGACCGTGCGGGGTATTTTAGGTACCCCAGATGCGTTTTTTCTTTAATAACTTTTACAATTTTTATTTCTCACTTTCAGGTAATCCTAGAATATATATTACAAAACCTTTTTTTAACAAAAATATCAAAATAATTTTTTTATTTTCCGCGGAAAACTGAAATTTACTGCCTGGGGTTCCTCCGTTACCCCGCACGGCCTGCAGTGATTCGAAATCCTACACGCACAATTCATGTTTTTTCGTGTTGGAGACTTTGTGTGAAGACGTAAACAAGTTCTATATTCAGTTTAGTGTTGATATTTACTGTGATATAGTAAGTTAGTATGTGTATTTATTGGGAAAATGGCGCAAAAGGAATATACTGATGATGGGCTAACAAAAAAGAGATTCCTGTCGAATTCGCTTCGAGAGCTGCGAAGAGGAATCCTTTAGCACAAGGACTTGTACTTCTAAACGTTCTAAGAAGGAAATAAAATAATAACAAGTTTCACAAAACTGTAAAAACAGCAATAAATGTATTTCTTGCCGAAAGCACAGTTTCTATAAATCCTGCTAAAGAGATTCAACCTAATTCAAACCGAAGATGCAGCTTTTGCGCTAGATCACGTAAGAGGAAAACAAAAATATTATGTAATACATGCAAAAACCCCATTTTTAATATTCTCTGCAATGAATGTAAAACGTTTATGCCCTGACTGCCAAAATAATCTGTAGAAAATTAATAAGAGTTTAGTTTTAAAATTAAATGTTTTTTATATTAAACAAATACAAAATATTTAAATTATTGACGTTTTATTATTAAACTTTACAAATAATTATTAATAACTTACCTGAGTGACAAAATGTTAATAGTTTTTGTAATATTTCAGTGGGGTATCATAGTTACCCCACACGGCCTGAAAGGTAACTTTTTGTAGCACGGTCCCGGAAAGGTTAATAAAATATGACTCTATATTTATATTGCCTACTTATCTTAATCTGTTCTTTGAGAATTTTATTTATATTTTGACATACTTAACTTTATAAACTTTGAATAAGCCAAACTGGTACCGTAAAATGGGGTGAATAGAAACATAGTGGTGAATAGAAACAAAATTTCTGAAAAAAATCAAATCACGATTAAAAATATTCAAAGTAAAAAAAGTCGACATATCTAATTTTTCTATGATTGGTAATACACAATAAAATGTAAAAACTATATTTTTATCTGTGGCAGCACTGTTTCTGTCAATCAGCTGATCAATAAATGTGAGATCGATTTATCACCTATTTTGTATGGCGCGAAAACTTTATAAATAAAATATTTATTTTTAAAGTAATACATAAGCTGGTACATGTAAGTTGTCATATTATATGTATTGTTATTTATTGTTAAACCTACTTAAATATGTAATAATTTACTGTTTCTAATCGCCTTGTTGGAAGTAGAATAGATAAAAACATTAACATCAATGTGTGTTTCTATTCTCCCCAATAGCAGGTGAATAGAAACACAAATGTTATTTTTATTTAATATTTATATGCATATTTTTCAAAAATCAAATGATATGTATACGCAAAGAACAAACAAAGACCCATGTTTTAAAATATTCGGGAAAATAATACCACATTTTTATCAACCGGTATATCGCTAATAGCCTACGAAACTGTTTCTATTCACCCCATTTTACGGTATGCGAGTATCCAGTTGTAAGGAATCTTAATGTTATGACCAATATTTCTTAAACTCTTCCTTTAACCGGAATACACTTCCTAAAAGTTGTATTTTATCTTTCTATACGGGGGCCAACCAAATTAATAAGTCTTTCAAAATCAGTAAAAAATTATTAAAAAACATCCTGTCTGTTTGTAAATCGCGTAAAAGTTTCCTTTACTGTGCTGGGATTTACTTTTGAAATTAATAGACATCCAACACCGCTTTTTTTTCTCTTTGTCTTCTTTGTTTTGCAATAGTGATCGCACTAGCAACCGCTGTTAAAAATACTTCGGTATCATCCATGTCCGAACAGCACGATCGCAAGCACTACATTACAATGTGGACGCCATTGTTTGCGAGCCGAAAGATCTTGAGAAGCACGACAAACCGGAAGCGCAAGCAACGCAAGCACAATCAGAAGCAAAAGCGCGAGCAGGATCACGAGCAATGTGGACGCAGCTTTAAACGGTCTACACAATTTTGATACCAAAAGAAAAAAGTCAGTGATGCACATGTTTTATTTTTGAAAAATATTCTAGTGATAACCCCATATGCACGTCCCTGATGAATTTATCGACACTTTTTTAGCATTTAAATATGTAGCACTTTTACCCTCAAAATTTCATTCGAATCACTAAAAGTACTTGGACGAAAATTATAATAAATCGAAAGATTATTAACTGACTTTAACACCCTTTTTGACCTAACACCCTAACTACGAAACAAAGCAGAATCAGACCTATGTTGATATGAAAAATAAATCTTATTTTTATGTGAGGAATCTCTCCACGATAGATGGCACATATTTTTTTAAACATCCTGTATACTAAAGTACTTCGTTTGTTCGTTAGAGGGCATCAACCAAAAATAAACCTGAACGTTAATTAATTGAAAATTTATGAAATTGTCAAAAAATATCATATTTATGATGCTAACATAAAATTCCATGTTTTCTCCAACTAGATTATCAGCGCATATTAGATTTTATGCACATACATAGAGCTTGATGGGGCAAGAAGCATTTTTTAGAAGTCACGATTTAAATCAAGATTTAAATTGATTTAAAACATGCCAACCCTGCTAATATAGCATACAAAAGTTCATAATATTTATTTCTTATTATATGCTTTAAATATTAATATTTTTTTTTAATAAATTCAAACAAAAAACAAGTTATAAGTAGGTATCTAAATTTTAAGAAATATTATTAGAAAATGATATTAAACTATTAAGTATTTGACATTTTGACAATCTTTATTATAATTCAAAAATACAAGGATTATTGAAGAAAGAAAGAAAAGTTTCCTACCTCAGCCATATCCTGAGAGGAGACAAATATTACATTCCTAAACTATTTCTACAAGGAAAAATAGAGGGACGGCGAGGCCCAGGAAGAAAACAACATTCCTGGCTAAGAAACATACGGGATTGGTCCGATTGGTGGAACATCAGCGACACGGCCACCATATTTCGAAGAGCCAAAAACATATTATATGAAGAGTACAGATTGTGAGTACAGACAATCGCCAACGTGCGGCTAAGCACAAGGCACAGGAAGAGGAAGAACGATTATTAATAAAGGTTTCCAAAATTCTATGAGAATTTTCAGTATAGATACTCTAAATAAGAGTAAAATTTAAGCTTTTAAATAAAATCTTAATATTTAATTATTAAAATAAACTCGACTTTTTGAACAGATTGTCAACGTAGCTTTAAGAAGCGGTGAACTGAGAACGATAGCCATCGCACAACGTCCGAAACATCGTTTCCTGTCCCTTTTCCGCAGACCCAAGCCCTAATTAACGTTTTTTTACCTTTGATTTTAGAGATTATTAATTTAGCAAGTTTTGGAAGCATCCTTATTTCTAAGAGATTGAACTGATACAATTATTGGTCTTATATTGTGTGACACAATTTTTCTCACATATTTAAGATTACGTATTTTGTATTCCTTATTCCATTACTAAAAATATTGTCTATTTATATGGGTGTCTAACACGTCATGTTCCTTAGTAATAGGGTGAATACTATTTTCGTGTACCCTCGTATAAAATAACATAAAAATCGAGTAAAAGTAGTTAACTGCAAATTTATTTTAATACTTATGAGTGTAAATTAACTGTTTGAGTGTTCTTAAGACAATTTTAACAGTTTATTTGGTAAATTATAGCATTTTTAGAGAAATTTTGGAGAAAAGCGACTGTCGGCGCAGTAAGTGTTTAAATTATAGGAATAAGTTTATTTTATGTTTGTTGAAAATATATATTATCTCATCAAGAACATAGAATGTAAAAAAATGCCAAATCTCGCAACACAATTCTTTCACTATAAAAAGTTGTGAGATCTCATGTAAAACCAAGTCAATTTATTTTATTTAGTCTCTCCTTAAGCACATATTCAACAATTTTGTTATAAATTATTAGTATCAATATTAGTTATCTATATTTC